CGAGCGCACGCGCCCTATAGCAAAAATCTCTCCAAAAAAAAAAAAAAAAGTTCCTGGAAGAGCCAGCCCCATAGCCTGCTGGTTAAGGAGCCAGGTCCGACACAGCCAGCCATGGCTCAAGTCCAGGCACGTGTGTGCATGCCCCACCTCCCAACCAGATGACGAAATGGAGAAAAAGGGCTCGCGGCATGACTGCACCCCACTGGGGGTGCTCTCTCTCTCTGCCTCTCCTTGGTAAGCACACAGGCAATTTTTAAAAAATGCTCTATGGAAAAGTAGCCCAGAGATGCATGCCGCGCTTGGGTCCTCTTCCCAGCCTCAGCAGGCACTGTCCTGAGGTCCCCAAGCTCAGGGCTTCTGGGATTCCCTGGACAGCCTGGACTATGAGCCAGGGAGGCCCTGCCCCAAGCCCACACCCTAGTGACCCCGCGAACCACCTCCACTGCCCTCAGAGGGCACTGGCCCACGACTGCTGCTGAGAATGCAGCCCCAGCCGCACCCTCAGCCAGCCCCACGTGGGGGACGCAGCAGGGAGGTCCCCGCCTCAGGCAGTCCACTCGCTGTCCTGCTGGCCAAAATGCCTCATCTCTGGGCAAACACTGGCCCTTGGCCACCCTGTCCAGACTGCCTGCCCTCGTCTATACCCTAGGGCAGCAGCAAGCTTCTGCCTGGGGGAGGGAACAAAGGGAGAGACTGGAGGCTGGGAGTGTCCCCACAGCAGTCCAGGACAGGTGTCCCCGGGAAAGGCCAGGGCAGGTGTCCCCGAGAAGGGCCAGGGCAGGTGTCCCCGAGAAGGGCCAGGGCAGGTGTCCCCAGGAAGGGCCAGGGCAAGTGTTCCCGGGAAGGGCCAGGGCAGGTGTCCTCGGGAAGGGCCAGGGTAGGCGTCCCTGAGAATGGTAGAGTAGGATGTGCACCCCTGAAAGGGCAGAGCGTGCGTCCCCGGGAAGGGCCAGGCGTGCATTCCCGAGGAGGACTAGGCGGTGTGTACCTGCAGCATTGTCCATGTTCTCACACAGGTCGGCCAGCAGCTCCAGGGCCCCCTCGCGCTCCTGCTGGTCAGCCACCAGGTCAGCCTCCCCGGCTGCAGGGGGTGTGGGCTGGGATAGCACTCGCAGGCAGCTCTTCATCTGCTCTACTTCCTCCCGCTGTCCGCGGAAGGCGGCGGACATGGCTTCCTGCAGCCACTGCCGCCTCTGGGGGACAAGGGCGGGAGAAGCCACAGGTCAGTGCGCAGTCAGGGCTGAGGCCAGCAGCTATGGGGACTCCAGAAGTTCACAGAGGTGCAAGCATGGGCCCCCGTGGCCTGGCAGCAGAGGCAGCTAAGCCCGCTCCGCCAGCTTGAAAACACACAGGGCGCGTGTGTCCCGAACCCCATTCCTTTAAAAACTGTATTTATTTTTGTTAAGAATTTTTTTTCTTCTTTTTTTGGAGAGGTTTTTTTTTTTTTTTGCTATAGGGCACGTGTGCTCGCCAGACAGACAGAGAGAGACATAGAGACAGGAAGCGAGAAATCAACCCCCAGGGGGGATGGCCACGCCATAATCCCTTCTCCTCCATTCTCCTCTCGGGATCTTGGGCATGCACGCACACGTGCCTGGAGTTTAAGCCACCGGGTCCGGGACGTGAACCGCGGTCGACTACGTGGGAGTCCAGCGACATAGCCATTACGCTAACTGCTGGTCCCATGTTAAGAATTATTTATTTAACTTTACTTATTATTATTATTATTCAGTTTGACCAGAGAGAGGCAGAGAGAGAAAACAAGCCACCAGGTCTAGGACTCAAACCATGGTCAGTCACATGAGAGTCCAGTGCCTTAACCACCACATCTCTTGCTGGCCCCTTAATTAATGAATTACTTAACTTATTTTTGGGGAGAGGTTTTTGCTATAGGGTGCATGTGCTCGCCAGAAAGAGAGAGACAGAGAGACAGGAAGCGAGAAATCACCCCCCAGGGGGGATGGCCACGTCACAATCCCTTCTCCTCCATTCTCCTCTCGGGATCTTGGGCATGCACGCACATGCACCCGGTGTGAGTTTAAGCCACCGGGTCCGGGACACGAACAGCAGTCTACTATGTCCAGCAACATAGCCATTATGCCAACTGCTGGTCCTGTATTATTCGTTTTTTAACACATGTGCTCATAGGGGGCGGGGGCAGAGATAAGCAAAATGACCACCGCAGGCTGTGGAGCAGGGTGGGATGGGGCCAGGATGCAGAGCGGTGGTGGGTGAAGGCCTGGTGAGTGGGGCCGAGGGATAGCCAGGCAGATGCCACAGATGGCCCAGGCAGGAGCAACCCAGGCCCCTGGGTGAAGCAGGCAAGCAGGCGGGAACAGAGGGTGGGGAGAGAGCACGAGAGCACGCACCTGGACCTCGGCAGGGTGAGACCCCGTGAGGAGTGGAGGACCGCCCTCCTGTGCTGGGAGCCTGTGCAGGGGCACAGGGGTGCACCAGGGAAGAGGGAAGAAGTGTCAGGGTGGCGGGCACTCTGAAATGCTCGGGTCCTGCCGCTGCTTAGTTCTGGGTCTAGGAGGCGTGGGGTATGCAGGAAAGAGAGGAAGCCAGCGAGTGGGAGAGCAGCCGGAGCCAAGCAGTGGAGGGCATGCTCGGCTGGGACGTGGGAGGGGCGTGCTCGCGGCACACCCAGCCCAGGCAGAACCCAGAGGGGCTGGGGCGGTCTGGACCAGGCTCGCTCAGCCTGCACTCCCTGGCCCTTTGGGCCGTGCCCTCTCTGGGGAGGGACAGGAGCTTCAGAAGGAGAAGAGATGCAAGGACTGAGGGCCAGACCTAAGAACCCTCACTGAGAGACAGAGAGGAGGAAGAGCCCGCCAGAGACAGAGGACAGCCAGTGAGGACAAGAACCAGAGACTGTGCTGCCCTAGGAGCGGGGTGAAGAGAGAGTAAAGGAGAAACAACTAAATGTGCTAGGGACTTCAAAAAGTTCCCAGAAGGGGCCAGCAGGTGGCATAGTGGTTAAGGTGCTGGACTCTCACAGGGGCGACCACAGTTCAAGTCTTGGACCTGGTGGCTGGCTCTGTCACTTTCTTTCATTCACTCTTTCTCTCATCAAATTAAATAGTAATAATAACAAATAAAATTAAACTAAAAAAAAAGTTCTCAGAAAAATGAAATTAAATTATGACTTTATAGGCCAGCAGATGGTGTGGTGGTTGAGGCACTGGATCCCACATATCTGAGTCTACAGTTCGAGTCCTGGACCCTGAGGCTTGAAAACATGTCAGGCACATGTGCATGTGTGCCTAAAATCCCAAGAGGAGTTCGCAGGAGAAGGGACTGCAGCATGGCCATCTCCCCAGAGGGTGATTTCTCAGTTTCCTTCTCTCTCTCTCTTCAGCGAGCACACATGCCCTATGGCAAAACAAACAAACAAACAAACTATAGGGACCAGCAGATGGCGTAATGGTTATGTGGTCGATCATTATTTGAGTCTCACTAAATGGCTTAAAACTCACGCCAGGCGCGTGTATGTGCGCACGCCCAAAATCCCAAGAGAAGGCACTATGGCATGGCCACCCACCCTTTTTTTTTTTTGGAGAGGTTTTTGCTATAGGGCGCGTGCGCTCGCCAGACAGAGACAGACAGAGAGAGAAAGGGAGAAATCACCCCCCAGAGGGGATGGTCATGCCGCAATCCCTTCTCCTCCATTCTCCTCTCGGGATCTTGGGCTCGCACGCACATGCACCCAGTGTGAGTTTTAAGCCACCAGGTCCGGGACGCGAACCGCGGTCGACTACATGGGAGTCCAGCGACATAGCCATTACGCTAACTGCTGGTTCCTGCCACCCACTCTTGAGGGGGTGATTTCTGGCTTTCTTCTCTCTGTCTCTGGTGAGTGCACAGGCCCAATAGCAAAAATTAATCTCTAAAAACAAAACAAAACAAAACCCTGTTTATTTTGGTGCAAAACAAATTTGAAGTCCGTACATAGTTTTCTAATGAGCCTCATTTTCCAGGAACTCTTAGAGGATCCCTCATATTAGGTCAAATGAGGTAAGAGGTGAGAACTGACCGCTGGAATTTGTTTCTCTTCTGGCCGTGCCCTATGTTAAGCACTAGTAAGACGGCCCGGTAGGCACAAACCTGGGTACAGGAGGGCTAGCTATTTAATGCTTCTGCACCTGTTTCCTGCCTCGCTGCAGCAACATTAAAGGACATCGCGTACAGAAGAGGGTTACCACTCTTCTATAGAGCTAACTGCCAACTAAACATCACACAGAATAAGTAAGGCTACTAACTTTCAAAACAATTCTATGAAGTATCCCTGTTATCCCCATTTCACAGACGGAAAAACTGAGGCACAGAAGAGCTGTGACCTGCCCAAGGTCGCGCAGGCAGTCAGCATGGGCCAAGCCTGAAGGTGGTCTACAGAGCAAGTGCTCTTCATGAGAACACGAGGCTGGCCTCGAGGCGCTGCTAGTGGGCAGGACCCAGCGGCCCACTTACACAGGAGCCTTGGAGAGACCCTGGGAAGTGTCCTTACTGGTCCTAGTCTCGGCCTCAATTTGCACACGACGAACAGGAGGCTCAGGTTAAGGGACATATCCAAGGTCACACTGCAGAACAATGCTGAACACAGGTTTGTCTAGCCCTATAGAGCCCCCTTTTTATAAACTTACCTCCAGGCAAGACTATCCTTCCTCCCTTAACAGAATTGTTAGGACCCAGGGATCTGTCCCCTCAAACACTTCGGAGATCTAACCTTCGGTCTTCAACAACCCCCTCCAGCACACACACACCTGGCCTCCGCCCCTACCAGGGGAAGACCCTGGCTTCTAGCTGCCCAAGCCACACTTCCCAAGACACCTTTGTCCCCAGCCCTTCACCCCAGCTTCTTGGGTCCCCATCCTTTACCTCCTCGCTCATGGGTTCTGGAGGGGGGTCTGGCTCCTCAGAGCCCGCCGTGATGGCCATCTGCAGCAGGCCTTGAAGGTTACGCGGGGGCCGCGGGTTGCCCGAGCCCCCCGACGAGGACCCGCCGCCTCCTGAGGAGCAACCCTGGGAGGCAGGGGGTAGCGCCAGGGGCAGGCGGCTTCCCCCTGAGCCCTTGTCTGCCATGGGCCTTCTGTGAAGAAGGGAAGCAATGTGTTGGGAGAAGGTAGTCACCGCTGAGGCAGCGCTGGCGTCCGGATGACCGGCCGACTCCTGGGGGGTCTGCTGAGAAGGTTGCGTTTTAGGGGCACTCGGCGCCCCTCCATGACCCTAAACCACACTGCCCGCACCCCCTTACCTTCCTTCATCCCAACAAGACCCTTCCCCAAAGCCATAAGCCCCTCCTTCCTCCCTAGCAACAGGCCCCACCCACTCTCCCTGGCAACAAACCCCTTCCCCCATCCTTACTGATTGCGTTCTCGTCTCTTAGCAACCTCGCGGCCCCTCCTCCTTGGCAACAACCTGACTCTGCTGGGCGCCGCCATCTTGACCGGAAATGCGCAAGTCTTACCCGGAAGTTTCGGCGCACCCACCCAGCTTCAGGCCGCGGATGGTTCGAAGCCGCCCGCTCTGCTCCTGCACTCCCCCCCCGGGCCCCGCCCACCCCGCTCGGCCCCGCCCCTCGAGTCGCGCTCTTGCCTAAGCCCCGCCCCCTGGCCCAGGGCCCGCACCTTAGCGAGCCACGCCTCCTCATCTTCTCACTGCAGGCTTCGTCCCTGCCCGGGCATAGGCCCCGCCCCTGCCAGGTCTGGCTCCTCCTCGGCCAATCGCCTACACCGGTGTTCCCGCCCCAGTTCTAGGCCTTTCGGCCTCTCCCAGTTAAGCCCCGCCCCCTCTCTGGGCCTCGCCCACCCCTTGCTGCAGGTTTTGTTGGTCTCTTGCTTAGGCGTTTCAGGCTTCCTCCTCACATCCGCTTTTCTCCTTCGCCTAGGCCCGCACCCTGTCTTCTCACCCCGATGGCTGACCTGTGCAACCTAGGCCCACCCACCCCGCTCGGCCTCACTTCTCCGGGTCAGCTAAAGGGGCTGCAGCAGGATGAATCTGGTGGCCAGCCTCTTTCATGGACTCTTCTGCCCTGCAGGTGGAGAGGAGGGCATTCTTCAGACTTGGAGCTGTTAGGCCGAGTTAGCATAATCACCGCCATGTTAGGGAATGCTGGGGAAGTTAGCTTAATTACTACCCTGTTGAGTCTTCAGGGACCGAGCCCACTTTGTTAGAGCCTCAAGGACGGGAACCAGGAGTCTGGGAACTCTCAGATAAGTGGAAAACGGGAGGGCCCAGCACCTCCGAGGCAAGGTCATCCAAATGCTTAGCTGAGAGCCCTTATCTAGACCTAAGCAGGTGGTGAGAGCTGGACCCTCGCATCTCATACCCCCCCTTCCTTTGTGTGTTACAGTCTAGAAAACATCCTGAACTATAAAAGATCCCTTTATCTTAGGCTCGGGGTCCTGGTGAAGGCCTGCTGCGACGGGCTGAGACTTGGACCCCAGCTAGCTGGAAAAATAAAAGCCTCTTTTGCAGTTGCATTGTCGCTGTCTTTTCTGTGTCTCCATCAGTTAGACCGATCTCTGGACCCTTACAGAGCCTGAAAGCAAAGTGCCCAGAACCTGAGAAAGGATTAGAATCCCGGACAGGCGCGGGCACAGGGGTGGGGGAGTGCTCAGCTGCAGACTGAGGCTCAGATCTGAGAATGTGCTGAGATCCGGTTTGTGGAGGTCTTCATTGGTCTGGTCTTGGACCTCCATTGGAGGCTCTGCCTCTACAGGAAAAGGTTGAACTCAATTTTTTTTGTAAAGTTCCTTTCTTTCCTTCTTCCCTGGGAGGCAAAGGGGCACCCCGATAGCGTCTTCAGGCTGCAGTGCACCCCCAGCCTCAGCCAGCCCAGACCATGAGTAAATTGAGCAGACAAACCCGGAACTCCGGATGGAGGTGGGGGAGCAGTGCCTTACCGCTGCACTGTCCAGGTGCAGCACCTGCTAGGCCCGAGTTGTGCGGGGAATACTGGAGGGGGATGCGTGCCTATAGCACTGTGGTGTCAGTGGGGCCCTGGGCCCCACGTACCCTGTTGCACTACTTCCCTACTGCCGCTGTTAGCCATTTCCGGAAGCGTAGTAACAAGATGGCACACAGCTGTCGCAGTTCTGGAGGGCAGATGTCCATCGTAGGTTCCACCGGGCTGAAATCGAGGTGGGCAAGGTGGTGTTCCGGCTGATGGCTCTAGGGAGGATCTCGTCCTCCTTGCCTTGTCCAGTGTCCAGAGGCCACCTTCATTCTTTGCCTTGTGGCCACCCACTCCCGTCTCTGCTTCCATCTTCAAGGCTCCGTCTCTGACTCGGACCTCCCATGTCCCTCTTATGAGGACACTTGGGACTGCACTGAGTCCACGCAAATCACCAGGGTCAGCCCCTCATCTCAAGGCCCTTTTCCACGTAAGGTACCATATTCACAGGTTCAGGGAAGGGGGATGTGGACATATGAGTACAGGGCTACCTGTTTACAATAGCCACGACACATTGTCACATATGCTACCACAGTGTGACGTAAACGTGCACACGTGTTCAACACGTCTTTGAGCAGACCACCACATGCGTGCCTAGTACACTGGTGACTTAGATGACGCTTCCACGCAGCCCAGAAAGGGCTCCGGCTCCCCCTTTGTTAAGAGAGTAGTCATGGGGGCCGGCAGGGGGTGTGGTGGTTAGCGGCACTGGACTCCCACACGGTGGACCGCAGTTTGAGTCAGTTTGAGTCCCAGACCTCGTGGCTTCTTTCTCGCTTTCCCTCTTTCTTCAGGGTTTTGGTGGTTTTTTTGGAGAGGCTTTTGCTTTAGGGCACGTGCACTTGCCAGAAAGACAGAGAGAGAGAGACAGAAAGCGAGAAATCACCCCCCAGGAGGGATGGCCACACCACAATCCCTTCTCCTCCATTCTCCTCTCAGGATCTTGGGCGGGCACGCACGCACACGTGCCCAGCATGATTTTAAGCCACCAGGTCCGGGACTCGAACGGTGGTTGACTACATGGGAGTCCAGTGACATAGCCATTACGTTAACTGCTGGTCCCAATAAAATAATTCTTTTTTTTTTTTTTGAGAGGTTTTTGCTATAGGGCGCATGCGCTTGCCAGACAGACAGGGACAATGGAGGAGGAAGATGGGACATGGCAGAGGGTGGGGATGGGGAATCTAGGATGGCAAAACAAAAGGCAAGGTATGCAGGACACAAAAATTGGGAAATCATTTGCTGAGAACATATATGTTGATGTGCTTGATTGAGCCAATGCACAGTGTATTTTGGATGGAAAATTCATATGTGTGTTGTGATGAGAAAAAAATTATAAAAAAAAAAAAAAAAAAAAAGAAAGAAAGAAAAGAGAAGAGTGATCGAGTAACCTTCCATCGTGGTGAGTGTCTAGAGGTCAAGAGTGGTCCCTATTAACCTTCCGGAGGAGGTGTAACCCAGCCGCAAGCTCACTCTACCTCCCTCCTTCCCGCTTGCTGTCCAGCTACCCCGGCCCCTTTGATGTCCCCACATGCAGACCCACTCCTGCCTCAGGGCCTTTGCACTCACTGTCTCCTTTGCTGGAAGTTCTTGAGCTCTAAGCAGTTGGCCTCATTTTACTCCCTGGCTACCTGATCTTAACTGTGTCCCAAGTGACCAACATTCCCAAGCTCCATGCCTGCTTCAGTGCCCTCTCCAGCACGGATCACAATGACCTCCGTGACCATCCATTTTCCTCCTTCACCTTGACCTGCTGCCTCGCCCGCCAACATAGAGGTGCCGCAGGGCTGGGGATTTGTCTGTTAGTTCCCTGCCATGTTCTTTTTTTCTTTTTTTTTTTTTTTTTTTTTTTTTTTGGGGGTTTTTTTTTATGGGCGCTGTGG